GAGCCCTCGGTCTTCACCATTCAGAGACCCCGTGGATGGCCGTCCAGGTCAACGGGAAGCTTCTACTGGCAGTCGCTCTACCCTGAGCTGCCCCGGGCCCCTCTCCTTGCCCCCAAATATTTTACATATCCAGATGGGGTAACGTGAAAGCCCAAGAGATACACCGGGCGCGTTCGCTGAATGCAGAGGCCTTTGTGAGGAAGAGGAAGAGGAGGAGGAGAAGAGAACGAAGAAGGAAAGCTGGGCGAGACAGAAGGACGACTACTTAAAATTGCACACTCTACGGATATTTTTTTTTTCAGAGGAAAACAAAAAAAAACAAAAGTATTACTACTCGGCCTCAAGCACAGGGTTCCTTTTTTTCTAAATTGGAGGATTTAGAGAATCCGACGTTATTAGCACAACGTTTGTGTTGATTGAGCGGGAAGAGGGTCCAGTCGGGCTCTCGTCGCTTGTTTCTGTTTTGTTTTGGGCTTTGCAATTCGTTTTTTTCTCGGGAGGTGGGTTCGGGTTTTGTGACACGTCCCACCACCCTCGCCGCCGCCGGTCCACCTCGGTTGGTCTCCAGCATGGCGCGCATGAACAGGCCTGCCCCTGTGGAAGTGTGCTACAAGAATATGAGATTCCTGATCACCCACAACCCAACCAACGCCACACTGAACACTTTCATTGAGGTAAGCGATAACCTGGTTAGGACTTTTGAGGAGAGAACCATCCGAACATCACAACATCGCTGTAGGCTAGTTGTACGGGTAGTCCTCCACGACCACAACAGCGCCCAAAATTTATGTTGTTAAACTTGAGGAGTTCTTAAGCGATTTTTTTTGCCCCCGTTTTACGACATTCCTTGCCACAGTGCTCACTGCAGAGGGGACAAGTGAGTAACCTGGTCGTTAAGTGGCTTTGGTTGTCAGAAGGTCCCAAAAGGGGGATCACGTGACACACACACCCCTCCCGGGACGTTGCAACGGTCATAAGTATGAACCAGTTGCCAAGCATCTGCATTTTGATCACGTAGTCGTGGGGAATGCTGCGAAAGTTGCAACCGGGAAAAACAGTCGTTAAGTCACGTTTTTTTCAGTGCCGTCGTAATTTTGAGCGATCACTAAATGAACTGCTGTAAGTCGAGGACTTCCTGTAGGCTGGAAAGAGTGCAGAGAAGAGCAACACAGATCATTAGGGGGCTGGAGACTAACACGTATGAAGAACGAATCGGGCATGTCTATGCTAGTGAAAAGAAGGACTAGGAAAGACATGATAGCCGTCATCCAGTATCTCAGGGGCTGCCCCAAAGGAGAAGGAGTCAAGCTATTCTCCAAAGCGCCTGAAGGCAGGAGAAGAAGAAATGGATGGAAACTAACCAAAGAGAGAAACAACCTGGAAGTAGCCCAGGTGAGGGTGTGCGCGCACACTGGCCAGCCTATCCCGTGGCCAGAGGGCCACTGCCCCCTCCCAGGCCGTGGCCCACAGGTTGGGGACCCCTGCCATATACCATTCAAGACAGGTGGCTGTCCAGTCTCTTCTTGAAAGCCTCCAGTGATGGAGTTCCCACAACTTCTGGTGGCAAGCTGTTCCGCCAATTCATTGTCCTCACCGTTAGGAAGCTTCTCCTTAATTCCAGGTTGCTTCTCTCCTTGATTAGCTTCCATCCCTTGTTCAGGAACGGTCACTAAATGAACGGTTGTAAGTCAAGGACTGTCCTCCTCCTGACTTGAGAAGGTTTACACAGAGCTCACTTGAAGGACATTTCAAAGCAAGGGACTCTAACTATTCAGTAGTGGCCAAAATGGTGGGAACCTTTTGGGAAAAGTGTATTTTTGAGGTTTGATAGCTAATAACACCACTTTTTTGGGGGGGGAGAGTAGTACCATAAAATTATATTATCAGTGGAAAGATGATTTAATCAAGAATGTAATGCAACGAAGTTTGTTCAATTATCTGTACTGTATTCTGTGAAAAGTTATAGCCAAATAAGCAGAAAAAGGAAGCACAATTTGCTTAGGTTGATCTCAGGTAGCTTTCCTTCCTCTGATTGTAGCCAATGAGCATGAGTGTTTAGAGAGCACGAGTGTTTAGAGAGCCAATCGGGTGTCATCTTGCTTTGGCCATGAGCCAATCAGATCACAGTAGGATCCAGTGATTGATGTCCTGTATTGAAGCCGAGAGGAGGACATTTGTCAGTGTGTTATGTGATCGCTATCAAGTTAGTTGGGTTTTTTGGTGTTCTTTCATTTAGTGAGCTTGTAAAATGTAATAAAATTAAACTAATGGTGCAAAGAGTTGACTGGTCACCCAGAAAGCGATGTAAAATAGTATTTATTAAGTGAACAAGGCTACAGTTATAAAGAAGTTAGAAGAAAAATGGGTGGAAACTTAACCAAAGGTGGGCATTTCTATTGTACACTTTTCCCAAACGGTTTCCACAATTTTGGCCACTACTGTACATCTCGGGGAAACGGTTGCAAAGATTCCTCCTGTTGAACCGTGCTTATCCGGACAGGTTTCGGGTGCAGCGTGATCCCTTGTAAAGGAGACCAAGTGGTTTGGTGGCTTCTCCCTCTCCTTTTTTCCAAGTGGATTTAGCCCAAATGACGCCTCCCTTCTTGCGTTTTGACACCTTTCCACCGCTCTCGTTCCCTTCCTCGCCTTAATAATAATAATAGTAAAGTTGGAAGGGACCTTGGAGGTCATCGAGTCCAACCCCCTGCTCAGGCAGGAAGCCCTATACCATTTCAGACAAATGGCTGTCAAGTCTCTTCTTAAAAACTTCCAGTGTTGGAGCATTCACCGCTTCTGGAGGCAGGTTGTTCCACAGGTTAATTGTTCTAACTGTCAGGAAGTTTCTCCTTAGTTCTAGGTTGCTTCTCTCCTTGGTTAGTTTCCACCCGTTGC